AATCATTTATTCAGGCAAGGATAATTGTGGATGCGCAGGCGGGCTGGGGATTCGAACCCGCCACCTTAGGTGTATGTGGCTGGCGCCTTAGCCGCTTGAGCCACAGGCGCCAAGCCGGAAGCTACTGTTTTTGATCTGCTTTTGTGAGTTCTTTTTAACTGAGTCCTGATTTATTTCATCTTTATTTATCTTCTTCTTTTTTGAGGTTGCTGTTAAACCTGAATATTTTTCATCTGAGGGATGCTTGACTGGTTTTCGATACATTATTCTTCCATCAGCTGGAGCTGGTTCTTCCTCTGCTTTGGTAGCCTTTATTTCTGATTTAATTTTCATGACGTCTTCAGCTGACAGGTCTCCTTTTTTTAAAACCACCACTTGGGGCTATTCATCTTCTTTGTCATTGTGATCACCATCTTCATCTGGGAGCTGAGGCTGGATTCTCTTGGTCTCTACGGTGGGCCCTTCCCTGTAGCCGACCTGCTCCTTGAAGTGGGCCAGAAACACCAGCTCAGTGGGCTGCACGAAAAATGTTTTTATAGACACGAGAAAATGGGAATATTTGTCAAGCAAGATCCTAAAAGGAGATCAGAGAGGATAGAATCAAAAAGTCAGTTATTGTTAGTGATAAGCCTTTTTATTCCCCCTCTTGAGTCCTGAGATAAAGAGGTGGATAGTAACATAAGGAAATTGAGGAAATATCTGTTAGAAAAAACCTTGTCAATGGAGGTAATTACATTTAGGGTGGAAACCTGTAACTGTGGATCACATGTGAGCCAGCGGTTGCGTATGGTGAGATGCATATGGCCTGAAGCATCTTACTATTTCCTGTAGATAGAAATACACGGTTTTTCAAAGTTTAGTATTAATTTTTATTTCTTTTTCCTTGGGCAGGAACTGAAACATTTGATCTTGGAGGCAGCAGATGGCTTTCTGTTTATTGTGTCATGTGAGACAGGCCGGGTTGTGTATGTCTCTGATTCCGTAACTCCTGTTTTGAACCAGCCACAGTCAGAATGGTTTGGCAGCACACTCTATGATCAGGTGCACCCAGACGATGTGGACAAACTTCGGGAGCAGCTTTCCACTTCAGAAAATGCCCTGACAGGTAAGAGTTATGTGGATGGAAAAGGAATGGGAAGGCTGTCCCCTGGGTAGAGTGCTGTGGCATCACAGCTCACAGCAACCTCCAACTCCTGGGCTCAAGTGAGTCTCCTGCCTCCGCCTCCCAAATAGGTGGGACCACAGGCGCCCGCCACAACAGTTGGCTATTTTTTTTGGTTGCAGCCATCATTGTTATTTGGCGGGCCCGGGCTGGATTCGAACCTGCCACCTTAGGTGTATGTGGCTGGCGCCTTAGCCAGTTGAGCCACAGGCGCTGAGCCTGAAGCATAGACTTATTGAATTTGGCACGGCTTCTAGAATTTTTGAAGCCTTTAATGAACATAATCAATTCTTTTTATCTACATGCAGATTATTGACTTGTGGTTTATATTTAGAAAATATTTCATCAGTGATAATGTTCATATAAAATTTTACTTTAATATTGGTATAAATGGTAAAAGCCAAATGTACAACAGTTTTACCCACTTTTTAAAAAGAATTTTCTATGCTTCTGTCTCACTTATATGGATAATTACCTGGCTTTTTTTGTTTTTTTCTCACTTGTACTTGGCTTTGTGCTAGATTCTGTAATAACAGATTTTTATTTATAGCAGAGTAGTTATTGGTCAACATGTAAGGTATTTATTGTTGGCTGGGCTTGGTGACTCATGCCTGTAATCCTAGTACTCTGAGAGGCCGAGGCAGGTGGATTGCTTGAGCTCAGTAATTCAAGATCAGCCTGAGCAAGAGTTGGACCCCATCTCTACTATAAGTAGAAAAACTAACAAGGTGTCGTGGCAGGTGCCTATAGTCCCAGCTACTTGGGAGGCTGAGGCAGGAGGATCATTTGAGCCTAAGAGTAGGAGTTTGAGATTGCTGTGATCTGTGAAGCTGCAGCACTCTATCTTGGGCATCAGAGACTCTTGTCTCAAAAAAAAAGATATTTATTACTGTTTTGTGATCTGTATTATTTTTCTTTTTTCACCCTATTTCAATGCTATTCAATCCTTTTGCCATAGTTTTGGCTAGGGAAATCACATCAGTTCTGTTCCTGAGCAACACTGGAAATAAAACTGAAAGTGGAAGCAGATAAAAACCGGTAGTTAAGGCTCAATGCCTGTAGCACGGTGGTTATGGCGCCAGCCACATACACTGAAGGTGGTGGGTTCAAACCTGGTCTGGGCCAGCTATACAAGTACAACAAAAAAATAGCCAGGTGTTGTGGTGGGCACCTATAGTCCCAGCTACTTGGGAGGCTGAGGCAAGAAAATTGCTTATGCCCAAGAATTGGAGGTTGCTGTGAACTGTGACACCACAGCACTCTACTGAGGGTGATGTAGTGAGACTCTCTCAAAAAAAAAAAAAAAAAGGTAGTTAAAATACAAGAAATTTAAATATGATAATATTAATGTTGGTCTTTAGTTTTCCCTTCTGTTATGTTTTTATGCATTTCATTTCTCTAGTTTGCATTTTCCCCAGAACTTGTCCTTGTTTTCTATATAATAAAGGGAAGAAACAGTTTTGACTTGAGACAGATAAGTGTTTCCATTACATATAAAGTTACTTGTTTTTAAACAATGATGTAAACTGTGTCTTATGTTTGTATGTATATAAAAATAAGCACAAGAAGATAGCCTTGCCTCTTGCTTTCTACCACTGCCACTGCTATATTCTCTTGCACAAGTGCCTTTGAACTTAAAAGAGTGAGAGTCATTGATGAGAAATGAGGTATTTTAGGCTTGAAAAATACCCATCTCTTTCTGGTCTATTCTGATATAAGCAAGGAGATTGAGGAGAGTGAAGGCAGGAACAGGATGCTTACTTGTTTTTGCCTCCAGTATCCCCCCTCCCAATAAAAACATACAATGCTTTTCACATCCTTCTTCTTCAGGGCGTATCTTGGATCTAAAGACTGGAACAGTGAAAAAGGAAGGTCAGCAGTCTTCAATGAGGATGTGTATGGGCTCAAGGAGATCATTTATTTGCCGAATGAGGTGAGTGTCAGAGTGAGTTTGCAATTTGCCATAGAAGAATTAAGAGCTTAGGGTCCTCTATCCCATCAAATAATATTCAAGACTTCTGTTTCATTCTACTATAAAGATACATCAGTGTGTTAATTGGCAAGTTCTATCCAATTTAAGATACAATTGATTGGCTCAGCGCCTATAGCTCAACCAGCTAAGGCACCAGCCACGTACACCTAAGGTGGCGGGTTCGAATCCCCAGCCCGGACCCGCCAAACAACAATGACGGC